TCCAGAGTGGAAGAGTGTCCAGCCCCTCTCAAGGAAACTGGTTCCAGAGCCCGAGCCATGCGTAGAGGTGAGTCTGACTATTTCTAGCCGGAACCTCTCAGCCTCACACACCAGCTCAGGCTCCTTTCCCACCAGTGAGGTGACATTCCACGTCCCAATAGCCAGCTTCTGTAGCCGAGGATCAGACCGCCAGGGTCCCCGCCCTCGGCCACCACCCATCCCACATTGCACCCGACCCCTTTGGCCCCTCCCACAGGTGGTGAGCCCATGGGAAGGGGGACACATGTCTCCTCTTCGGGCTGTGCCCAGCCGAGCTCCATGGGTAAAAGCCCGGCCACCAGGCGCTCGCCCGCGTGCCCCACCTCCAGGCCTGGCTCCAGAGTGGGGCCCCGGTGACCCACGTCCGGGCAAGGGAACACTAGGTCCATTTGTGTTTCTCATCATTGGGGTCTTTGGGCTGCACTTTGACTGGTCCCTCACCTAGGACCTGTCTGCCATGGGTGACCCTACTAGGGGCATAAAGCCCCTGACAGCATAGCTCCTAGGATCATTGGGACACTCAAACACCTCCACCACGGTAAGGTGGCAGCCCAGGGAGGGGTCCAGGCTAGTATTTTAGTAAATTTTGCACCGCTCTCATAATACCTATGTTTTGTGGAAAACATCTTTTTTATTGTTTCTTGGGTAGTCAAATCATTAATGTCATTTTGTATCTTTATAATCTCTTGTAATGTTGATTGGCTTTTGTTTTGAGCATGTCTATTTTCAAGCTCTTTTAGTCCTTCTTGCAGCTCTTGCAGTTTTTTCTGTCTTTGTTTCTTTTTAACTGATGCTATGGCTATAATCTTCCCCTGTAGTACAGCCTTGGCTGCGTCCCAGAGGATGGGTGGAGAAGTTTCACCATTATCATTCTCATTAATGTATCTTGATATTTCTTCTGATATTTTCTTTTTAATTTGTGCATCATTTAGAAGGCTGACATTAAATGTCCATAATGTACTTCTTTGTTTTTCACCCAAAGCCATTGTCAAATATTTAGGGGCATGATCACTTATGTCTATTGTTCCTATCTCTGCTTCAGTAACTTTAGGTCTGTCTTTATTAAAAATAAAGAAATAATCTAGCCTTGTATATATCAAGTAGGGGTTAGAGAAGTGGGTATACTGCCTGGTCCTTGGATTCATTTCCCTCCAAATGTCTATTAGTCCGATGTTTTGCATTAGGTTGCTGAATTTTTTATTAATTGTTTTACTGTTAGCTTTCTGTCTAGAGCTATCAAAGGATGGCTGAAGGTGAGTATTAAAGTCTCCTTCGCAGATAAGTGTTCCCTCTGAGTTATTTACAATCAGGTCCATTATTTTAGTAAAAAACAAGACATCACTTCCAGGTGGGGCGTAAACATTGAGTAAAGTATGTCTCTCCATTTATATTTCCTCTGACTAATATATATCAGCCCTCTTCATCTTTGAGTTCAAAACTATGTTCAAAAATAACTTTACTTGATATCAATATTGCCACCCCTCTTTTATGTTTTCGCTTGTATGAGGAGTAGTATGATTTAGTGTATCCATATTTGGGTAGTTTTTGATGCTCTATGTCATTTATATGCGTTTCTTGTAGGTAAATTTTGTCCATCTTTTCCCTCTTCATTTTTGTCAGTATCCGTGTTCGTTTAATTAGATTTAATATGCCATTAACATTAAAGGATGCCACTTTTAACCTTTCAGATAACATTTTCTTGAGTAATAAGTAGTTTTAATAACATTTTTGCTACTAAGCTCTCTGGGTAAACTTAACGTGTCACAAGAACTGTGAAGAACAAATACAGAACACATCTGAAAATGAGTCCTGGGGTTCCAATGTAAAGGTGGATTGTCCTTTACCTGACCTGGGTTGGGGTCAGAACTTGGAGGGAAGTCCTTGACCGATGGTAATAGAGGAAGGGCCCTCCATGACAACCTAGAATACGTGTCCATACCTTTTAAAGGTCCTGGTCCTCCTGATAACTGCTGAAATGTGAGGAAACAGAGAATATGTTTACTCAAAGGTGTTTTCGCTGATCTTTCATTCTGGGGGCTGTCTTCTGAAAGCCTGCAGTCTGGGTATAGTGCCAGCTTGTCCGGTGGGCTGCTCCTGCTGGACACTCCTTTCTCTCCCGGCGATGCGCCATGGTTCCCCTTCCAGCAGCTTCATCAGGTCTTGACGCGGTGGGATCACCTGGACTGCAAATCCTCGGTCATTCATTTCCTTTGTAGCATCGTGTGCAGTTTGGAATAGGCGTGTTTCATCCTTGTAGAAGATGCAGAGCTTTGCTGGGTATGGAGTCTGGAAACGGATCTTCTTCTCCCTCAGCACCCGTTTTGCTTCGTTGTATTCTTTACGGCAATTTAAAATTGCGGTAGGGTAGTCATGGTCGAAGTATACCCTCTGGTTGTTCACGTAGATTTCCTTCTTCTCCCATGCTTTTCTCAGTATTTCCTCCTTTGTACGGTACCACAGGAATTGTACTACAATGGATCTTGGCTTTGCTGCTCCCGTTGGTTTCGGTGCTAGAGCACTATGCGCCCTTTCTATGCTGAGTTCGTAGGAGTCAGGAAGGCTCAGTTTCTCTCAAAGGAGTTTTTCTACATATTCAATCATCCATTTGCCTTGTTCTATGTTTTCTAGTACATTTAAAATCCATATATTCTTTCTCCTTGCTCTTGCTTCTTGGTCAGCCAGCTTGTCTTCATTTTGAATCAGTGTTTTTAGCATGTTTCTCACTGCTAGCTCGACCGTGTCTAGCTTCGCTTCTGCAGCCACGATGCACTCTTCGGCTTCCTCAGTTCGTTGGTTCGCTTTGTTAATGTCCTCTCTTAAAACATTTAGATGTTTGTTTTCTTGTCTAAATTCTTGTATTTCACGAAGGATAATTTCGAGATTAACTTTGGGTTTTTCGTTACCTTTTGATTTTCCGGGCCCGTCTTTAGTGTTAGCATAGCTATCCATGTGCTGCGGTTCGTCATCACCGTCAGACGTATCTGGAGCATTTTTCTTGCTTCTCTCTCTTGTTTCCATCCTGTCCTGCGCTTGCTATCTTGCAGTAAAGTCTGTGAGTAGTTAGAATAGGTTGTAGGAGTTTTATTAAAATCTTTAAGGAGGAGCGCTCTTCTTATGCTGCCATTCGGTTGAAACCAGAACCCCCTCCGTCATCTTTGGTTACTGGTGTCGCCGGTGAAGTTTCTCGGTCTCGTTCAGTTTTAGCTTTTGATTTAGACATTCTTCAAATTATGGGTGGTTAACAGAAGCACAAACTGTTTAGAACTGGGACTTTCAGAGCCAATTAAGACAAGTTTGTTAGGTAATTAACAAATCATGCAAGAGCGAACCTAAGACACATCTACTCCGTAAACGCCATCCACCCATACCTCCATTTCTACAGAATCCTTGTGTTATGGTTGCCCGCAGTGGGCGCCGCCGCAAGAGACGCCACAGGAGATGCCACAGGAGGGGTGGGTTGCTTGTGAAGCTCCGGGCTCACTTAGCCTCTTCTTCATTCCAGTCTTTGCGCAGGATTCTCAGGAAATACAACTTTGTGGATATACGATGCCCCATGGAATATTCCTACAGCTAGCTGCACGTCATGGAGACAGACCCCAGCGGCGGTGCACTTCTTGGTCTTCGGCGTGCAAAGATCTGTAGGCGTGGCAGGGTTCAGGAGAAACTCTGCTCCTTTGGCTGCCCAGGATAACAGCCAGTGCTCCATCCGGATGGCCCTTCTGAACACTAGATCTGTCATAAATAAAACTTTTATTCTCCATGATTTCTTCTGCTCAAACTCTCTGGACTTCCTGCTGCTGACAGAAACGTGGTTGAGACCAGGAGACAACAGCAAGTTTTCTGAGCTCTCCCCCTCAGGCTGCTCCTTCTTCAGCTCCCACGCCTGTCAGGCCATGGTGGTGGTGTTGCCACTATCTATAAGGACAATTTTAAATGCAGACTTCTGCCCACCAACACTTACTCCTCCTTTGAACTTCAGACATTTGTGATTGAGCTCACCCCTGATGCATGAAACATGAAAAGTGGGGTGAACATGAAAGGACTTAGGTAGAGAGAGGCGAACAGAAACAGGATTAATGACTTTGGAAATTGGGAAGGGACCAATAAAACAGGGGGCGAGCTTGCAAGACTGTAACTTACGGGGAAGGTTTTTTTGG